AGAAAAAAAAAAAGAAAAAAAGAAAAAAGAAAAAAATTTTAAATTTTATTTTTCATAATATTTTTTTATATTATTTTTTTTCACATCATCACTTTTTGGCTATATTATCTTCCACGTGGACTATTATATGACATGTCATTTGGTAACTGTGAAGTAACAAGCCACATCACACAATTTTTAACGGAAGGACCAAATTGGAGTAAAAATGGTAAACAGTAGGGACCAAATCAGGGATTTTTTTTAGTTTAGGGACTAAATCGGGGGTCCGTAAATAGTTCAGGAACCAAAAAGGGGTTTTAACCTAATAATAATATAGATTTTAGTTTTAATTACTAAGATATTCATTTTTTTATTAGTACGGTTCATGTAATTATTCAAAATATTTTAATCATTGTTTATTAACTAAAGTGAAATATTTCAATTACTAAATTTTTGGTTGTATTAATCAAAGAAAAAAATTTTTAAATATCAAGTAATTTAGAATTAAACAAAATATGTTATATATAATAACAAATTATGTCGTGAGAAAAATAGAAAGAGTTTTGATTATCATTTTTAAGTTATAGTAATTTATTTAATTAATATTAATTGAAAACAATTTAATATTTTAAATATTACATCATAAAAAGGTATTATAAATATTATAAGAATTCTTGATATACTTATAATACATTTTGTTAAAGTATTTTTATTTATATAAGATTTAAAATTAAATTTTCATTAAATAATAAAAAAAATTGATAGACATATTATAGTAGAATTTTTTAAAAAAATTAAGATCATCATAAATTAGTAAATATATCTTTTAAATAAAAAAATTGTAATTAAAGTTTGATTAGTTTGTTGAGGCAAAAGAAAAACGAAAAAGAAGAGTGCATGCTTGGCTAAAATTGAATTTAACGAAGGATAGTAAAAAATGATAGGTTGGAATTAATTAATAAGAGGAGAAAAAAATTAAAATGAAATGTAAATTTATTAAATAAGGAAAGTATTAATATGTGATAACAAAAAAGTATATTAAAAAACAACCTGACATACTTATCTTAAATGATTTTTACCTTAATATATATATATATATATATACACACTACATTATTCCTACTTTTAGTTTTTAGTTTAACTTTTTTGTCTTTTAGCTAGTTACTTACAATTACCGGTTCCCAGTTAAAGCATCAAAATCATTGGCAACGTGGCTAAACAGATGAGCGGCTGCCAAAAGGAGAGTGTTGGAGCGAGTGCTCCTAGCATTCCTCTAGGCTGAAAGGACTCTTCCGAGTTGCATCAAATTGGAGATATCGTTACTCCCTGTCCGGCCCATGTAATTTTATTTTAAAGGAGTATATGATATAATGATTAAAATTTAATAAATAATATGTGATAAATAATAAGTAGTGATAAGTAAATAATGGATAATAAGTAATAGAAAGTGAATAGTGATTAATAGATAGTAAATTTAATTAATATAATTATATTTTTAAAAGGATTAATATAATTATTTAGTTATATAATAATTAGTAATTATTCTTTAATATTAAATAATTAATAAAGATATATTTAAAAATAATTAAATGTATTTTTTATATTTTTATTATTAAAATTATTAATTTTTAAAAATAATAATAATAAATAAATAAAATCAATTATAATAATATAATAACAAATTAATTTTTATTTTTAATAAAGAAAAAATTATATTATTTTTAAATAAAGTATAAAAATTTTAATCTTTTTAATTAATTGCTTCGTGAAATTGTAGATGTAATTCCCTCTTGTTCTCTAAGGGTATGCCCTTTGCATAATGAATTTATTGGAAACTCAGGGTGAGTATTTTTTTTTTTTTTTTAATTCCAAACAAAACAAGTAAAAAATATATTGGATGTTTTAGCTGAAAAATTTTGTATTATTTCTAATTTCTGATGCTTTAAGAATTTTATGTTGTGTTAGTTTTTTTCTTCCATATTTACCCTCTTACCTTCCCAAAATACCAAACGTAAAGTTTATGGTAGTAATGGTAGTACTAATTATCTGGCATTTTTTAAAAATAAATTTACAAGGGATTAAATTCGAATAATTACTCTGAAAAAAGGAGAATGCATTTATACGTGATCTGAAACTATTGGACCGGAAAGCCCAAGTGCAATTATCTGGCATTTTATTTTTAAATAGAACTCCGTTTTACACTAGCAATTATAGGTGGGTTGATAATGTACGGATAAAAATTTTGACTCATGTTAAATTTTTAAGTTTTATGAAAATAGTCATAATATTTCCCTCATTTCCTCAAAAATTCCCGTTATTCAAAAAATATAGAATTGTAGTTTGAAAGCAGCCATTCTTCAACTTAAGGCAAGTCATATGGACTTTTCTTAATCAACATTTCCCCCCTTCCCTTAAAAATTTCCCTCATTCAAAAAAAATATAAAATTATGTTTTGAAAGCAACTTTTCTTGGTCTTAAGGCAATTCATATGGACTTTTCTTAGCCCTTGGGCCTAAGATCAAGTCAACAACACGTGAACAAACTTTCTCACATTACTTTTACTGGCGCAAAAGGTCTAATTTCCAGTCGGTTTAGGAATATTAGGAACAAGGGACAAAGAACATCGCGTTGAATTAAGCTCCTTAGCAATTAGATGTTAGGTAGAGATGTGTCGTGTAGTTACGGACTTATGATTTGATGATCAATTGATTAATTAATTGACTGACTTATTGTTTGATGAACAGTTGATCAATTAATTGACTTCTGATGGAAGCTTCCAATTTCCCTAATTCTAAAACTTAATTAAAATATATTGTACAGGCAATATTACATGCAAATGACCTCAAAATACCAAACGTAAAAGTTGCGGTAATAGGAATGGTCAGACTTTCTCCATCTACATACAACCGTGTGTGTGTGTTTTTTTCTTTGGTTCTGAGTCGGCGAACCAGAAATAATATTATTTAAATAAAATATAACAGGGTACCCTTGGCTGTTACAAGGAAAACATAATTATTAAATTAAAAGGACGGGCTGGTACAAATTGAAAGACATTTGTTTTTTGTTTTTTTTTTTTTTGTGTTTTTAATATATTAACCTGATATTTGATAATCGTATTAAATTTTAATTAATTTAGAATAACTTATATTGAATCCTATAAAAAAATTCTTTCAATATTTATTTTTTTATTTATAAAATTTAAATTTAAAATTTTATTTAAAAAATTAAATTTTTTCTTTTTAAATTAATAAATTATTGATATCCAATATCATTTGTTTCCTGAACAAAAGGACAGTTGGACTCCAAATTAACATGTCTCCTTACCAAATGCCTAGGTGGAAGATATACTAAATCAAAGGAGAAGATTGATGGGTGGCGAAAATTGTGCAAATTGATTCATGGACTATGCGTTTAAATACAATGTTATAAAAATTGATTTATCAGAACATTAACTCCTTATAGTCATGCCTTATTTTTCTCATACTTTTCCTTTCTAGTTTTTGATTTGTATAATATTTCTTTGATTTTTCAATCTGTAGTCTTATAAATTATAAAAATTTCTGACAAATAATATGCAAACAAATATATTATTCTTAGAAAATCTCTTCTTTCTCTTTTCTAATTAATAATAATATCAAGAAAAGTCCAAGAAATACATAATTCAATCTCCCGTAACAATGTTAAATTTGAAAATATATGCTGAAAATTGGTGCAAGCTCAGTACCATGTTTGAAAGCAACTTTTCTTAGTCTTGAGTCTTGACGTTGACTTAATTAACTACAAGTAAATGAAGAAATTAAGCAGAGGTCTGGGGAATTAATGGAGATTAATTTCATGATACGGAGTAGTCAATACTTTAACCTTGAAAATGCATATTGCACAACTAACGCGTGTATCATTGTCCTACGTAATATCACAAGCTTTGTGAAAGTTCCGGGTGTGGGGACAATTAATGGAAGAGAAAAAAATCAATAATATGGACAAACTAAGGACTTTATAAGCCTAAATCTTGGTTTAAGAGCGGTTATCACAAAGAAATATGGTGTTTCATTTGTTGTTTCTCGAATATTTTTTTTTTCATCTCTATATTATATCAATATTATGCTTTGGTCACAAAATTAATAAAATTAATAATTAATGAGCTTATTATAATAAGAATGCCATACAAAATTTTAATTAGGCATAATTGATTTCATCACTAATAATAATTTGTAGAAATGCCATTTTTTAAAGAATATTTCTCCATCCATATGCAATCCTCATCTTGGGAATATATCTGTAGTGGTAGTAGTCAGAGGTCATGAGGTATCAGAGTTGGGAGTTAGAGGTCACGTACCTCATAGTAGTCCAAGGTACATAACCTCGAATAGTTGAAGCTATTCTCAACAATTTAGTCACCTTGACTTGATTAAAGAACAACGAACTCAGTCGAGTTCGAGTTCGTCCCCTTTGCTCTTGGTCTACAGTAACTCCGTTTATGCACAGATCTTTCAGGAGAGTTTCCTACGATCATTGACACATATGATCTTGATTGCCCGTGAAAAACAACACGTGGACGCCCCTTTCAAGGCTATAAATACCCCCTAAAGGTCTTCCCCAAAAGGTAATTGAAACTGAACTCAAGCTTAGCTCTTGATCCATATATGGTAGCTTTGATTATTGTTGATTTAGGCATCGGAGTGTTTATCCCGAGGACCAACCTTGGGGCTTTGCAGGTTAATAGAAGTGGAGAGCTAAGCTCAAGAGTACCCTAGAATTCTTTGCAACTACATTGACGCTGTGTGTGGGAAATCCAAACTAAGAGCCTAGTAGGTGGTTGCTACGATGGTTAACATGCATTCAACGCAACATGGAAGCCCTCAATAGGGCCGAGGAAGAGGTCAACTCCCAAGTGGTAACCTTACGTCTCACGCCATGCCACCTCTTATCACCCAACATCAACATATGGAAATGACTAAAAAGAACAACCTCTAACACCCAACGGAGGTCCCAAATGATGCCATAGCTACCCAGCTCAACACTATGCAACAATAGTTTGGCGTGTTTTAGCTTGTGCTTGCATAGTTATTAGCTAGGGACAACCCAAGTGATTCCCTCATCACCTTGTTAAACCCAACTAACCATGCGCCCAATACCCAGCCTTAGCAAAATGTTAATTCACCAGTTTGAATCATTGTCCCACCTCAAAGTGAGTCCCAAGGCCACTCCCACATGGCACCTTCACCTCCAAACCCACCTCAACTAGTTATCTCAGATGTTTCCAAGAGGTTAGACAACCTGGAAAGAATGATGGCCGAAAATCGAAATGCCCAACCTTTAGCTCAGCCCAGCTCTACCCCTATCTCTACCCCCCTCAATACCAACATCATCCAAGAACCATACCCAACTAGATTCAAAATGCCTTAGTTTGAGACATATGATGGCACTAAGGACCTTGATGACCACTTGCAGGCATTCTGCTTTGTTATGCAAGCTTAGAATGCCTTAGATGCCTTGATGTGCAAAATATTCCCCTCAACATTGCGTGGAAACGCTTGGACTTGGTACTATAGTCTGCAGCCAAACTTGATCAGTTCATATGCCGAGCTTGTGGCATATTTTGCAACTAAGTTCTCAAGTCGACGACTGATAAGAAAGACGACCTCCAAGCTCATGCGGGTGATCAAGAGAGAAGGTGAATCTCTGAAGAACTACATGAATAGATTCAACGATGTTGTACTGGAAATCGGTTCATTTAATCAAGCTGTTAGATTAGCTACCATAATTCAAGGCCTCAAGCACGAGAAGTTTAGAGACAACTTGATAAAGCATTCTTCTGCCACGTTCAATGAAGTCAATGAAAGATCTTATAAGTTTATACAGGCCGAGGAATACGCCTTGTCGGGCAAGCCCGCATGGAGTAAAGAGGTCAGACCTCCGACTTGGAGAGATGAGGGGCAAAATAAGAAGAGGTTCAAAACTGCGCAGAACCGAGGTCCATTCCCTACTAAAGTTGACAGACCCACCCTGAGTACCCCACAACCTCTGACAAAGCAGATCACTTGGACTCTGTTTACACTATTGAGGTCACAAATTTTGATGCAGATCAAGAAAAAAATGGAGCTTAGAAGGCCCCCACCTATGCAAAGTTCACTTGCCTCTAGAGATCATAGCAGATATTGTGACTTCCACCAGGATCACGGACACACCACGAAGGAATGTAACAATTTGAAGTTTGAACTCGAGGGTTTGGCCTGCAAAGGGATGCTGAATGATTACATCTCAAACAAGGACTAGCTCAAGTTCATCCGAGAGCAGGGACGACCTCAAGGATCTTGAGATGCAAGCAATAAAAATGGGGTTGGCTATTGGCAAGCACCATCTCCTTTTCCTCCACCTTCAAACATCATTCACATGATAACTGGTGGGCTGGAAGCAAGAGCAACGAGCTCAAAATAGCAGAAGCTATATGTGAGGGAGGTGAAACACCAGGATCGAGCTTAGAAGAGGAAATTTGATGAGGCAAACTGGAAGAACTAACCTATAACGTTCAGTTCAGCTGATTGTGATGGTGTTATCACGCCACACAATGATTCGCTAGTCACCTTGGTCATTGTTAGTAATTGCGAAGTTCAGCGCATCCTTGTCGACACAGGAAACGCTTCAGATATCAAGTACTATCATTGCTTTGAGAGCTTTGGCCTTGATCCCGCCCTTCTATAGAAGTATGATGGCCCCATCTATGGCTTCAATAATCAGCCAGTCCCTAGGAAAGGAGTGCTGAAACTCAATGTAGCATTCAGCTCAAGTCGAACATATGTTACTCCCTCAGTTCGGTTCTTGGTAATGAAGATGGCATCATCCTTTAACATCATCATTGAATGACCAACTCTGATTGGGATTCGAGCTGTCGTTTCACAATCCCACCTCTGCATGAAATTCCCCACCCACAAGGGATAACGACTTTGAACCAAGAGGTGGCTAAGCATTGCTACATGACTTCGGTCGCTCGACCTCGAAAGGATAAGCAAGCAAACCCTTCAAAGCCAGCTCAGCCTGAAGTCCTAGCTACACAATATGTGATAGGTGTAGAATTGCTAGATAACAGACCTGAGGATGAGGCCAGAGCCACCCCTGCAGAAGAGGTGGAAAAGGTACAGCTTGACGACAACCACCCCACTAAGAAGACGCAGATTGGGACCGAGATGAACTCAAAAGAAAGAGAAGAACTCATTAGCTTTTTGAAGTTAAACAGAGATGTATTTGCATGGACCTTAACTAATATGCCCCGGATACCCACCTCGGTCGTAGTACATAAACTAAGCACTCATCCTTTGAAGAAGCCTTAGCATAGAAAGGACGCTTGTTTGAAGGAGATAGATTAGAAGCAATCAGAGCAAAAGTGTAGAAACTATTGCAGGCAGGGTTTGTAAGAAAGGTAGACTACTGTGAATGGATCGCTAATCCTGTTTTAGTCAAGAAGTCGAATGACAAGTGGAGAATGTGCATTGATTATACAAGTATAAATGAAGCTTGCCCGAAGGACTGCCATCCTTTACCGAGTATAGATAAGCTGGTGGAAGCTACATCGGGAAATGAAAGGCTTAGTTTTTTAGATGCTTACTCGAGATATCATCAAGTCCACATGGCACTTGAGGACGAGGTGAAGACCTCCTTCTATGCAGGTGACAAGATCTACTGCTATGTAATGATGTCGTTTGGGCTCAAGAATGTAGGGGCTATATATCAGAAAATGGTGACGATTGTATTCCGAGCTCAGATTGACAAGAACCTGGAAGTCTATGTTGATGACATAGTAGTTAAGAGCCTCAAGGCAGAGGATCACCTAACCGACCTGGCAAAAACATTTGACAACCTAATAAAACACAACATGAGGCTAAATCTAGCCAAGTGTGTCTTTGGTGTTGAATCTGAGAAATTCCTAGGATTCATGGTCTCTAGGAGGGGGATAGAGGTCAATCCTGAGAAGATCAAGGCAATAGAAAAGATGAAGCCACCAAAGTCAGTCAAAGATGTGCAACGCCTAGTTGGGAGAGCAAGAGCTCTGCATAGGTTCATATCGAAGTCGGTAGATAAATGTCTGCCTTTCTTCAAGATCTTGAGGTCCATGGCCTAGAAAGACGAAGCGGGGAAGCCTAAGAAGTTTGAATGGACCTTAGAGTGTCAAGCTGCCTTCGATGAACTCAAGTCGTACCTCAGTTCACCACCTCTATTAACTAAGGCCGAAGAAGGTGAGATCCTTTACCTCTACCTTGGGATATCTACTGTAGCAATAAGCTCAATCTTAGTCAGGGAAGTAGGGCAACAACAAAGGCCAGTGTATTATACCAGCAAGGTGTTACAAGGAGCCGAGTTGAGGTGCTCCATTATAGAAAAGGCAGCCTTGACAGTTGTCACCACGGCAAAGAAGTTGAGGCCGTACTTCCAAGCCCACCCCATTGTTGTACTAACCGATCAACCTCTAAGACAAATTTTGCAGAAGCCAGAGTTCTTGGTTAGACTTATCAAATAGGCAATAGAGTTAGGTGGATTTCAGATCACATTCCAGTAGAAGTTGTCAATTCGAGCCCAAACCTTGGTAGACTTCATTGTAGAATGCACATTAGTTCTCGAGGGTGTCAATTTTGAGGCTGAACTATGGACCCTTTATGTCGATAGGTCATTAAGCATAAAGGGATCAAGTGCCGGAGTAGTGTTAATGGGGCTAGAGAACTTCCGAAGTGAGCATGCCCTAAAATTCAATTTCGTAGCAACAAATAACATGGTCAAGTATAAGGCACTTCTCCTCGGACTTTGTTTGGCAGCATAGCTGAAAGTCAGATCCCTGCAAGTTTACAGTGGCTCACAGCTTGTAGTCAACCAAGTGAATTCTACATGTGAGGTCATCGATCCCACTCTAGCCAAATACCTAGCTATGGTTTCCAAGCTCAAATGCCAATTTGAGAGATTCTAATTGACCAAAGTTTCAAGAACGAAGAATAAACATGCAGACTCTCTATTGAAGTTAGCATTTGATAACTCCAGAGGAGGGAGGTCTGTCGATGTTGAGGTTCTTAATAAACCAAGCATCTAGAAGCCAGAAATGATGGAAGTCAGTATTGATCCTGAAAGGTTAAATACCCTTTTTGATCCCTCTACTATAGGAAAAAGCCCCTTTTTGATCCTTGTACCGAAAAAATCCCCTTTTTGGTCCTTACTGTTCACAAATCCGACCCCTTTTTGGTCCCTCCGTTAATTTTTGCTCACGTGGCACGTTAACTTAACGGGAACAGTAGATGTGGACTTAATGATACCCTCCACGTCACCCTCCACGTGTCGGAAAAAGAAAAAGAAAAGGTTAAATGCTAAATTTGATCCCTCAACTTTATAAGTTTGCATTTTTTTGATCATTAGATTATTCTTTTCACTTTTTTGATATTTTAATTCTAAAAATTACACAATTTTGATTCTTTTATCAGTTAAACAAGACGTGATAATTAAATAATTTCATTTGACATTTTCTTTTAATTTTTTTGATGACATGCCAATTATATATATTATAATTATTTTGTATTGATAAATAAAAAAATCACGTAGATAAACATTTATATTTTAATTAAAAAATAAAATTACATTATTATCCTCAACTCCCAATCCCTCTTCTTCCCCTTCTTTCTTTCTCTTTCTTTCTTTTCTACCTAGATCGACTGGGTTCCGACGAGTTGGGTAGCTGGGTTCGTCGAGCACTACTTTCTGTGCTGCATCTCACTTCAAAACTTCTGCGCAGAAATTCCTCCAAACCCTCCGAAATCTCCCAGCTGCCGCTGATTACCTCCTTCGCAAAACATGAACATGAAATCCGCTCCGATCCGATCGGATCCCGTCCGTCTCGATCATTTCATCCAATCTAATGTTTCTCGCTTGCTGAAATCCGATCTCCTTGCTGTTCTTGCTTGCTGGTCCTCGTCGCACGAACCCAGCCTTGTTGGTCTTGGTTGCGCGAATCCGGCTCTGCTGTCTGAAAAAATTAACAGATTCAAAAAATCATGTCGTGTTCCGTCGCGGTATCAAGCTCCCCGGTCTTCTCTTCTTCCTCGTCTTTCTTCTGTAACAAAACCTCAATACTTTCTCCGTCAACGGAGGCTCTTAATTTGACTTTAACCCACCTCAAACCCACATCTTCTCCTTCTTCTCCGTCTCTGTCATCTTCGCCTTCATCGTCGTTTTGTATAAGGATTCAAAAAAAGTCATCTGGGTCACTTCTCTCATCCTCATCTCCATCTTCTTTGGGTTCCAGTGCGGGTTTTGGTCTCGGGTCGGTTTTGAAGAGGAAGAGGCCGGCTAGATTGGATATACCGGTGGCGACTGTGATGGCCTTTGCGACTCCGTTGATGGAGAGCCAGGAGAGATGGAGAGGGAAGGTGATGGGTATTCTGTTTATTGTAAAAGAGGGAGGAGAGAAGCTATGAGGGTAATAATGTAATTTTATGTTTAAATTAAAATATAAATATTTATTTACGTAACATTTTTTTTTATTTATATAACATAATTATAATATTTTTATTTA